CCACACCCTTAAAAACAAACAAAAAAACAAACAAGATTTTGATATCTTCAACCATTACCAAGGTCATTTTAAAAAATGAAATGTAAATTTCTCCTCCATACAAGTGTGGAGAGTGTTGTGTATGGAGAACTTAGAGGATTTTATGCATCTAAGGCCAGGGACTAATATGTCTATTACACAGTTTAAGATATGACAAAAGAATATAGGCAGAGTAGAAAATACTAGAATAACCAAAATAATTGAAGGGGAAACAATTCAAAAGGAAGGTTTAAGGAATTTAATGTTAGCTTTATGATAAAGAAGCTAAAGGATAAGTTAGGTTTTTAAGTTCTAATACATTATAAAGATGTTGAAGAAGTACAGAAAAATGCAAAAAAAATGGACTTTATCAGCAAAGATTTTAGTTGAACATATGAAAAGAAGAAGGAAAATCTGGGAATGGGAAAGAGATTCTAGAAGTAGCCAGAGAAGGAAGTACGAAGGAGCATCAGAGTTGATGGGAGAGGAACAGGAATGAATGACAAGAGAAAGGCAGAATCACACCAGCAAGTTTTAAAAGCCACAGAAATAATTCAGGGGAATTGAGAGATCTGTTAAAGAATCCTCAAGGAAGTATACTGTTTACGATGAGGGTAACCTCCCTCCTTGTCTTTCCCTAAATCTTCAGTAATGGTCTGCTTTACTCCACTGTGTGTTTGGTGATTAATGTGGGATTTGGATTCATTTGATTTTCATCCTAGATACATGATACTAGAAAAAAACAAGTATAAGAATGAGGAAGGGCTAGTTCAAAAGACTAGCTTTATTCTACCTAAGAAATACCACTTGAGTGATATCTCAGAGCATAAATGTTTGAAGGATTTCAAGTAAGTTACTCAACATAGTGCCTAAAGTTAATCAAAGTGTGGAATGTTTACATTTTCAAGAAAATTTTTTCCAGTTTACACTTTTTTAATATATATTTTTTAGTTGTAGATGGACACAATACCTTTATTTTGTTTGTTTATTTTTATGTGGTGCTGAGGATCAAACCCAATGCCTCATACATCCTAGGTGAGCACTCTACCACTGAGCCACAGCCACAGCCCTCTAGTTTTCACTTTTATAAGTAGTGCTAGTATTATTTGGGTCCCAGGGACGCTGAATATTTTTTAAATGTTATTATTATTATTACCTGTGCAAAAATGCTACCTGGAATTTTAGAATATAAGACACTCAGAAGGACCCTTGCCCCCACCCAAAAAAAGAATTCTCACTAAAATTATGAAAAACACTTTTAATGCATATCTAGACTAAATCCAGATCTAGGAAAGATGAGCAGCAAGCAAAGAGGAAAGACAGATCCCCTTTCCATGTTGACACTGTTCTCTGGAGACAAAGCCTTCAACACAAGAAAACCAAGCTGATCCCAGAATTCCAACACTGAGCTGACAGGCTCTGAAAGGAGGTTAAAGGGGTCTCCAGGCTATGAATATTCCTCAACTCTGAAACCAAGCAATATAAGCAAATACTTGTTACACTTCCAGGATTCTCATAGATTGAGAGCAAATAAAAATTAGCTCATAATCAGAAATCACTAAACAAATTACCACAAGAAAATTAGAGRACTTCAAATATTTGTATTTTTAAATACAAATATGAGTCAAAAAACAAGAAAGAGCAAAGGACTATAAAAACCCACTACAGAAATTCATAGAAAAACCAAATAGAACTTTTAGAAATAAAATGTATAGGGGGAAACTTGCTGTATACATTACACAATAGACTGGAAGCAAGAAGAGAAAATTAGTGAAAAACAGATCTGAATAACTTACCTACAATGCTGTGTAGAGTGAAAAGGGAATGGCAAATATGAAATAGAAGTTAAAAGATATAAGGAATTAACGAAAGGGTCCACCATAAGCTTACTGGAGTGGAGGAAGGAAAGAATAAGGAAAATAGAAAAGAAGCAATATTATAAAAAATAATGTTTAAGCCATGCATATTTTACCAAACTAAAAAAGTAAGAATGGTTGAGATAAAAGACAGATTTAAGGAATACAATTTATATACCATCACAGATTAAAACAACAACAAAAATTATATATCTTGGCACATTGTTCTAAAAGAGCAGAACACCCAAAACAAAGAACACATCCTAAAAGTAGCCAAATAGAAAAGTTAAAGTCACTATACAGGAATAATAATCTGATTAACATTTTTTCTTTTCCTCAACAAAACCAGTGGAATGATGGAACAGTAATTTTTGAAATTACCAAAGTGCTGGAAGAAAATACCAACCAACCTAAAATTGTTGTTGAGCAAACTCTTTCAAAAGTGAGAAATAACAATATATCCAGATATATATAAGCCAGGTTTACCACCAATATATCTTCTTAACAACTTTTAAACTAAAGGGTAGATAAGAAGAATGAACTCACAATGAAGATTTGAAATATATGAAGAAATAATAAGAAAGGAAAATATTGGTAAATCTAATATTCATAAAATAATTTTTTAATTTGAAAAATTAGAAAAAGATAGAAATAAAATATTAACACTTAAAGAGCTGGTATGGCAATAATTGTGATTAGTATTCTAACGTCTTTTGAATATTCTGGGGAAATTGAAATATTGATAAACCTTGGACTTTATTAGGTAAGCAGGATAAAATTAGACCACAAAAGATGGAAATAAAATGTATAACTTTCAAATCAGTTCATGGAAAAGAGAAAGAACAGAGAAAAATTTTAAAACAAACAATAAGAACTTCAAATATTAAGCCAATACCAGAGATAAAAGCATGGGAGTGAGTGATAAAACAAATAGAAAACAGAAGCACAGGTCCAAATATAAATGAGAAATCACTGGGAGTGTGGCATACACCTATAATCTCAGCTACTTGAGAGGCTGACACAGGAGGATTGCGAGTTCAGCGCAGCCCAGGCCATTTCGTAACACTCCGTCACAAAAGCAAACAAACAAAAGTAGGTCAATAACTGGCTGGGGATAGGAGTAGGAATTATTGCAAATGGGCATAAGGGATCTTATTGAGGTGATGAAAATGTTGTAAAGCTGATTTATGGAAATGGTTGCACCTCTCAGTAGTAACTAAAAATTACTTGTATACTTGGAATGAGTGAGTTTTATGGTATTTAAAATATACCTACACAAAGTGTTATTTGGAATGGTTTTGTTTGTGGGGTTTTTCATTTTGTTTTGTTTTTGTTCTAGGATAGGACCTAGAGCCTCATGCAGCTTCATCACTAAATACAACTTGACCCCATCTAATGGTCTTTTTTTTTTTTTTTTTTGGACAGGGTCTTGCTTTGTTACCCAAACTGACCTCAAATTCCTAGGCTCAGAGTGATTCTCCCACCTCAGTCTCTCCAAGTAGCTGGGACTATCAGATCAGCATGGACTACCACACTCAGATTAAAGGTGCTTTTTCCAAAACTTGTGTGATATATGAAAAGTAAAAATTATAAAGAACCAAAATTAATAAAACAGAAAACAAAAATTCAATAGAGAAGATTAACAAAGCTATAAATTAGTTTATTAAAAAATAATGARGGCTGGGGATGTGGCTCAAGCGGTAGCGCGCTCGCCTGGCATGCGTGCGGCCTGGGTTCGATCCTCTGCACCACATACCAACAAAGATGTTGTGTCCGCCAAGAACTAAAAAATAAATATTAAAAATTCTCTCTCTATCTCTCTCTCCTCTCTCACTCTCTCTTAAAAAAAAAAATAATAATGAAATGAGTAAACCTATAACAAGATTAAACAAGAAAAAAGGAATAAAGACCAAATGAATATCTGGAATTTAAAAGGGGATATAATTACCCACACAGCAGGATTTTAAAGATAATACTATGACTGAAGAGTGAAATTACAATTATGTTCAGTATATTTTCTTTATGACTTTTAAAGAATATTCTCTATTTTTTAGGTACAGGATATATACAAAACCATAGTTAACCTTTTGAACATAAATTTTGAAGTTGTGTTACATATATAAGTTCATAATTATGGCTTCTTAAAATATTTTATCCATATAATCTATTTATGTACATATTTGAATATACATAAATACCTCTCATTTTTATTGCTATGTGCTATGTAGTTTGTAAATAGTATCTCTATCCTTAATGTTCCTGTTAAGGTAGGCACAAATTACTCATATTTCAGATGATACAACTGAGAGAGGCATAAGTGATTTGTTTTCAAAAACTAAGGATTTAGGGCTGGGGTTGTGGCTCAGTGGTAGAGTGCTTGCCTAGCATATGTGAGGCCCTGGGTTCAATTCTCAGCACCACATAATGATAAATAAAGGTATTGTGTCCATGTACAACTATAAAATATTAAAAAAAACAACAACTAAGGATTCAGCCAGACACAGTGGCACACGCGTGTAATCCCAGCAGCTTGGGAGGCTGAGGCAGGAGGATCGAGAGTTCAAAGCCAGTCTCAACAACTGCAAGGGGCTAAGCAACTCAGTGAGACCCTGTATCTAAATAAAATACAAAAAGGGCTGGGATTTGGTTCAATGGTTGAGTGCCCCTGAATTCAATCCCCGGAACCCAAAAAAAGGATTCAAATTCACTTTTTCTGGTTCCAAAGTCTATACTCTTTTTTTACCATAGTGATTCAAATATGTTGAATATATGTGTGTGTGTATATATATATATGTATCAAATATATATATATATACACATATATGTATATATACATATATAATATTTATTTTAAAAATAAGAACATAAATTTAAGTGTGAAGAAAACTTGAAACTTAATCATGCAGCCCTGTAAAATAGATTTCTGCATTTAAAAGCACCTACCTAAAAAAGACTACTAGACCCTCTAATTAGGCACTCTTTGAAAGATAACTTGAAAGTGTACAGAACAGAAACTTAGCATTTAAAAAAACTGAATGGATATTAACACAATCTCTGTATTAAAGATTGGGATAAACTTTTGACATCTAATTTGACCATTACAAAGTAAAGAATTTACCATCTCACCTGGTTCACTCCCAAAGCTTGCTTCCTCTTCTGACAAAACTACCCTGAAGTAAAGAAAATACATGGATTTTAGTTAAAATACATTTGGAATTCATATTCCCCAGTTTAATATGGTTTAAAAAAACTTTTTTCAGGGGAGTTACCGGGGAWTGAACCCAGGGATGCTTAAACAGGGATGCTTAACCATATCCCCAGCCCTATATTTCTAAAACTATTTTATTAGAGACAGTTGCTTAGTTAGTTGCTTAGTGCCTCACTAAATTACTGAGGCTGGCTTTGAACTCTTGATCCTCCTGCCTCAGCCTCCCAAGCTGTTGGGATTACAGGCGTGTGTCACAGCACCCGGCATGGTTTTAAAAAACACTTTTTTAAAGTCAGGAAACTTAAAACACTTATCTGTAGATCTCACAAAATTTAAATCTGAGAGTATTTTCTGTTTTAAAGATCTCTATGCTTTCAGTAATCACTTACTGAGTATCTATACATCAGCATTGCAGGCACTGTGCTAAATTCAAGGTTGAGCATCCTTAATTTAAAAATCCAAATGCTCTTAAATCTAAAATTTTTGAGAACATGATACCACAAGAGGAAAAATCTGACACTATGTCCAAAATTATTAAAAATATAAATTTCCTCAGGTAATGTGTATGAAACATATATGAATTCATGTTTAGACTTAGGTCATCCTAAGGTTCTATCCTAAGATATCTCATTATGTATATGCAAATATTCCAAAATCCCAAAAGTTATGAAATGTGAAACACCTCTGGTGTAAGCATTTTAGAGAACTCTGTACGAAGTTTTATTTTCAAGTTTTGGAGGGTTTTGTTTAAAAACTCTTAGGAAATAAATGAAGGGAATGAAGAATATTCCAGAAAAAAAGTAGGAAAGTTCWATTTTAAAGAATAAAGTGATGTTTGTGAAAGAAGAGACATTTACCTAAAATATCCTCAGTCAATACTAATTTTGGATGTTTAGGGCTTCTATCTAATGTGTTGATTTATAGAATGCATGTAATAATCAAAAAATGAGACAAAGAAATTGAACACAGATTTAGCCATTATTCCTAGGGCATAATCTCATAATTGCTAGTTTTAGATGTATTTTAATAAGTTTTTAAAGACACTTAAAAAGCAATATAATATTTATTTGCAAATACTAAAAGAAATCCTGTAAAGCAGAAAGATATTTAACTTGAAACAAAATTTCCAATGACAGTTATGTGTATATTTTTCTTAAACAACTTAGATGGAAGAGAAGGTAAAGTGCTTAGGAATCTGTTAGTTAACTCAAAAAGATGTTCTCATCATCTTGAAGATGCATGAGAAGCTTCTGAATAAAACTTGCATRAAATATGAGAATAAAAAACTAGATTAATATATTTCATTTAGCATATGATATTTTTGTTATTTTTTTAAAAACGGAGCCCAAGGTTGCCATACCACCAAGCTACATCCCTAGTCCTTTTTATATTTTATGAGACAGGGTCTCACTAAGTTGCTGAGGCTAGCCTTGAACTTGTGATCCTCCTGTCTCAGCCTCCTGAGTTGCTGGAATCATAGGCGTGCTCCACCATGCCTAGCAGCATATGATTTCAAATGTCAACATGTAATTAAGGTAAGTTTAATGTACAGCTAAACATTTACTAAACATTGATCTAAAACATTTATATATTCAAGTTAGCTAAAAATTTGGTTTGGGGGCTGGGGATATATAGCTCAGTTGGTAGAGTGCTTGCCTTTCATGCACAAGCCCCTGGGTTCAATCTCCAGCACCACTACAAAAAAAAAAAAAAAATCGGTTTGGATTTCCTATAGAGAAAAATGGGGAAATGCTTTATATTTAGGATCACCTTTGATTCAGCAATAATGGTTTGTAATTATTTGGGCCTAATTTCTGAGTTTGTTGTAATATTGAGTCAATCTGCTTAAAATAATTGTGGCACTCTGAAAGAGAAACAGGGGGAAGATTTAATAAGAGGGAAACAGGTAACAAGAAGGATGTACGTAACAAGAGACCCTATTTTCAGGTAACCAGTTCCAGTTCTATCTGTGTTTTTTGAAGATAGATTTTTCCCCCCAGTATTGGGGACTGAACCCAGGGATACTCTACCACTGAGCCATATCCCCAGTCTTATCTATCTATCTATCTATCTATCTATCTATCTATCTATTTTGAAACAGGGTCTTACTAAGTTGGCCTTGAACCTGTAATCCTCCTGACTCAGCTTCTTGAGTTGCTATAGATTTTTAATAGCTTTTCTCACAATTGCTGGCCCTTGTCCCTTGCTTCTCTCCTGCTGTCCCTGCAACAGAGGTACTCATGTCTCTTAATATAAGACTCCCAAATGACAGATCTAGAGTATCACCACAATTTGTTTAGTACTCCTGTTACTTCCTTTACCTGTAGTGATAAAAATGAGGGAAGAAAAAACAAATGTGTTGTTTGTAAAAATGAGGTAGAAATAAGTATTAATGAACAAGAGAAGAAACAATTCTTCCCACATATATCATAGGATGGTGTCCAGGACTTCCCTTACAGTATATAGATTTGCTGGCTTACTTATGGAGGTTTTCAGTAAGAAAACTGCCTTCTATTTGTTCTTCTTTGTGATCTTCAGTAAGTTTCTTTGGAGTATCTTGTAGTCTCTGAAGATAAGAAATTCAATGTTAAGTAGAYGGAAAGAATCTGTTTCTCTTTGCATGCAAAATTAGAATAAAAATTCTAAAAAAACAATATAGAAATAGTTCTGAACTAGAGTGAGAAATATGGTAAATATGTGCTAATGTGATTTGAACTGAGCCCCACATATGTACTTGTTTATCCTGGCTGCCTGTGGGAACCTCAGACACTGTGATGTGGACTAGAGACAGACTGGTTTAACAACTATAGAAAAAGTAAAACAGACTTTAAGGGCATCTTTGGGCTGGAAGATACCATGTCAGAACATAAGATAAAAATCCATCCCAAAGCCCAGTAATATATGGTTACAGGATATGAACCCATTGCAAATATTATATTCAACTTGAAGAAATACAACAGCAACCCTTTTCATGCTCTCCTGAAAACAAGGCACAATGGCAAGTTAAAAGGTACTGAAATCTAGGCTATCAGAACTGAAGAAATGACTATCACAGTGTGACTCTTCTGGATGAGCCACACGCAAAGATGACTGTAAGACATACAGATGTCAAAAGCTCTGTAATCATAGCCAAAAAGCATCTTTCACATCTAACTGTTTCAGAAAGAACTGATCTAATATGTTAGTAGTCTCTTACGTTGCAATCACACATAGTAATGACCATAACTGGCATATTTGGGGCATCATTAACCATATCTATGACATTGATATAAGAGTAAAACAAGGAAATTTGTCTTTTAAACTTCTTTAATTGGACATGATCAATTCCCATCACTTGTGCCTGTTAAATTTTTCCTTCTACAGCCTTTAAAAAATCTCCTTTGCATTTTAATTTTTTCACTCGCCCACATTCCCTAATACCTTGAATCTGCCAGCAGTATTTCCATGGCTTTTAGTCTCACTGGCAGCATTTGGAATAAGGCAAGTGCTGATCCTTGGCTGAAAGAGTGCAGGAAAATGTTGCCTTATATTTTATAAATTTGAAATTAGGGCTGGGGATGTGGCTCAAGTGGTAGCGTGCTCACGCCTGGCATGCGTGCAGCCTGGGTTCTATCCTCGGCACCACACACAAACAAAGACGTTGTGTCTGCCGAAAAAAAAAAAACTAAAAAATAAATATTAAAAAATTCTCTCTCTCTCTCTCTCTCTTTAAAAAAAAAGAAATTAAACTTAGCAAAAAATAGTTTCAATGTTATCACCCAAATGAAGTATAATAAGTCAAAGCAAGAAAACAGGGGGAAGAAATGTACCTTGAAAGCTACAAAATCATATGGATGAAAGCCAACACAGCCCTCACAGATTTGGGACATCATTTGAGCTGTTTTCTCCCAAAATCCAAGCAGTGTTCTCTGCAGAAAAAGAAAAGGTGACACTATAGTTCTGCTTCTCCTCCACGATCAGTTCTGTGCTCTATTTCCTCACTAGTGTAGTATATGAATAGTTGCTGCACAATAAACAGCAGGCACTAAATTCAATTGTTCAAGAAAAGTTGAACTATAAATCATGACTTTATATGAAAGTTAGCACCAATGTCTGCATGCATGTGTGCCTATTTTTTAAACAGCACTGGAATGCACACTAGAGCCTAGAGAGTGACTGCAGCTAAAAGAAAGAAAACTAATGAATCAGAACACCTGAGGAATCCAAAAGCAAAATGTTAAAAGCATGGAAATGCCAATCACTATAGAAGGATAGACATAATGTATAATCTTTATGTTGCTATCATATAAGAGCATCTTTTTGAGAAAATATTTACCACTAATTTGGCTTTTCATTGAGGGTTCAAGAAAGACTTGTTCCAAAAATGTGTTGTTCTCAAGCTAACTCAGGTAATTGAAAATTTTCGTTGTTGCTTTAGTGTTTGTATTCAAAGTGAAGGGAATGAGTGGAGAAAATAAAAGAACTGAACTAATTGTTATTGGGTTACGGCATCATGCTTCACAAATAGTCATGCACTTTTTATTTTCAAATGCATCTTTTTTTTTTTTTTTTTTTTTTTTTGCTTAGAGGCACTTGCCCACCAAGCCACATCCCCATCCCTATTTTGTATTTTATTTAGAGGCAGGGTCTCATTGAGTTGCTTAGCACCTCACTTTTGCTGAGGTTGGCTTTGAACTCACAGTCTTCCTATCTCAGCCTCCCAAGCTGCTGGGATCACAGGTGTATGCCATCATGCTCAGTTCAAATGAATCTTTCTTGATTCCTATATTCCATAGTTTTGAACTGAATTAGGTAAATTCCCTATAGAGTTAATACCTATTTCCTTTAGTTTTATTATTATTTTCCTATGTAAGTACAGTTCATTTTACTTTGTTATTTACAAATATACATTAAAGTCAGCAACTGCTGCTTATTAATATCTAACTTATTCATTATGTGTTATTTATGTGTGATTTGGGGTAATGAAAGCAGAAGTAAGACCTCTGAGGAGAAAGCTATTTAGGATGGTAATATGGCAGAATGAAAAAAACACATGACCTAGAATTAGAAAAGTTATGTTTTTCCACAGAAAACTGAAAAATAAATAATAAAAATTCTCTCTCTCTTCTCTCTTAAAAAAAAAGAAAAGTTATGTTTTTGAATTCAATATTGCTATTTATTTTAATTCTCATAGTTTTTACTTTTCTCATCCATAAAATGACAGAAAAGCTTTCAAACTTTTGGAGCCACAATATCTTTGCTTCATATGAAAGTCTATGTAGAAATTTAAAGTGAGAAATTGAAAAGCTCTAGTTGAATCAAAGCTAATGGGGTCTTGCATTTAGCCTTCTCAACATTTCCATTTACAGGTAGTGGTCCCCTCTCTCCCTAGAACACCAAGGAGAATAATGTGAAGCTACAAGAGTAGATAATCTCTAAGGTCTTTTTCAGTTTAGGACTTTATAATTTTCTGACTGTTGTAACCTCAATGAGTCAATTACAGCAGATTCAAAGGAATCTGATCAACTATAATTTATTTGTACCCTTTAGACAACTTTTAAAAAGGAATCTCACCACTCATCTTTACTGCAAGGGCATGCTGACCATGGAGGTGGGTACCTGGTAGGTAGTGAGTGAATGAGATAACATATTGCAGCGACTAGCTCCAAGTAAATCCACTTTCTGACAAACATCCATCTTTAATTTGTCAAAAGAACTTTTGCTATTTCTCACTTGGATCTGTACCTGTAATCACAAAAATGCTATTATTACCTATAATACAGATATAAATATAGCATACAAGTTCATAATAAATGTTTTCAGACACATGAAGTTGTAATAAAGGATACCAATTCCTCTGCCCAGTCTCTAATTGTAAAAGATTCTTTCTAGTAGATATCTTTAGGTTGAGAAAGTATGAGATGATAGATGGAAATTATAGAGTTAATAAGAAAAAATCCAAATAAAAAGAAAGATCTAAGATGTTCAGGATTATGGACAGTATTTGTCTACATGCAGAAGAATAAATGGAAATGGGACTTATTTAAAATGTTGAGAAGCATTAATAATATTTCTGAATCATGGAGCCATTCATAAATTTATATTCAGGCCTATTTCCTATACAGAGAGTGAGTCAGGAGTGATTGAGTAATGTGAACACTCAACTTTTAATTATATCTATTACGTGCAAAGTACTCTTCAAGGTACTAGGATATTATGGTACTTTCCTACCATCTCTGGGTAGAAAGGCACAGGAAAAAACATAGTAAATAAATATACAATATAATCTCAGGCTGCAAAATAGCAAATAAGTTGAAAAATGGGTGACTACTTTTAATAAAATTGGGCAAACTTTGGTGAGTTTATGCCTCACATTTCAATTGAGACAAAAGATGATGAGCAGGCTATGCTGAGACTCAATGAAGAGTATTGCAGGACCAGGGAAAAACAAGGACAAGGGTGGGAGAGGGCAAAGAGCTTATCAAGTTTTCAAAAAAGGAAGGCATAGGGTAGAGCATATTCTTCTTGGAGCACTGGAAGCAAGCACAGGATGAGGCTATAGAAGAACCAGGGATCAGACAATGCAGAGCTTTTTTAGTTCAGATAGGAATTTGGATTGCATTCTTGTTTTTCTTTTTTAATTGAAATGAAATTCACATAACATTACAAGTAACCATTTTAAAGTGTACAATTTAATGGCATTTAGGGCATTCACAATGTTGTGCAACCACCCCCTTGCACTGAATTCTAATTGTCAAGGATTGTAACAGGGATGGAATAAAAGGTTTCTGGGGCTTGAGGTCATGTGTTCACTTACTTTACAAGGCTGTTGGGGGTAATCAATGAGGCAAACCGCTTACAATAGCTGGCACAGTACACAGCTCCATCAATAGTAAATATTTATTATAGCTTCTCTATGAAATGAATGAATGAATGAATGAAATTTAATGTCCAGGCATAGTAAATGTAGAGGATATGGTTTATAATAAGCTTATTTAGCAAAAACATTTGTCCATACATAGATAGTTGCTTACAAGGTTTGTGGTCAAACTTTGTATTTTGGCAGAATGAAAAATTTAAGAACCTTCCCTTTTCTTACAATTAATAATTTTACACAAATTTTTACTTAAATTAGATATTTTTTCCTCAGTAATAAACAGTTTTCTTCCTACAAACAAGTTCCAAAAGTCCAGATAAAGAACATTTAAAGTGTAATTAGGTTATGAGGGGGATAAAAAAGATTAGTAAAGAGACTGATGAGGGTGCTGGGGATGTGGCTCAAGCGGTAGTGCACTCGCCTGGCATCCGTGAGACACTGGGTTCGATCCTCAGCACCACATAAAAATAAAATAAAGATATTGTGTCCACCTAAAGCTAAGAAATAAATATTAAAAAAAGAGCACACACACACATTAAAAAAAAAAAGACTGTTGAAGTAGGGATACCATGCCATTCAAAGAGTAAAAATAGAATAACAACCTTTTATACTTTAAACAAAATCTCCCCACAACCAAGAATTCATAATAAAGCATATTTTTAAAAAAACAGGTATTAGTATATAATCATATTTTATAATCTTCATTCTGTATCAGTTCCATATTTTATGTAACTAGAAAAGGAAAGTGACATATTTTCATACTTTTCTGAACTTTTCCACTTGTTTCAAGGTGTCTGGGTCCAGTTCTTGGGAGACATCTTTCATCCACAGGAGAGCTCCTCTGTATTCTGTGCGTGCCTGCTCCATCCTATTAATTGTCATCAAGGTATCTGATACTGCCCTTTGACTGAAGGTTGTTACTTCTTGCTTAAGACGAGACAGAGGAGTACACAAGGCCAGTCTGGTGACAGAGAGGTAAGAATCAGAGGGTTGCACATCAAAAGTTTAAACCAATCAATCAAAAAGCATTGTGCTATAAAGATTAGTTTATAGTACAGGTATGAAGACATGAATTGGTGTGAATATACTGTGTATACAACCAGAGATATGAAAAATTGTGCTCTATATGTGTAATAAGAATTGTAATGCATTCCGCTGTCATATATAAATAAAAAATTTAAAAATTAGTTTACTGATAGGAAATTATCAAGATGGCTAAAGAGATAGAGAAAGCAAATAGGAATAATATAGCCAATTTTGAATAATTAATAATGATATTTTGTACTTCCTTTTTTACTTAAGGAAATATATAATTTTTACAACATTGTGGATATTAGTTCATGCATAGATAATCTGCCAAGTAACCCTACCATTTAGAAAAAAGTTCTCAGGGAACAGAGAACCTGCATTCATAAAACACAATCCAATTCATACACAGCCTTTTATTTGGCAAGTTTAGGAAAAGCCTGGGTACAGAAGATCAGATAAAATGCTAGAAGAATTAATGAGTATGGAATTCTTAGCATATGAGGATGAGGTAAAGTACTTAAGAAACAAAGCAAATTCAGCTCCTCCACTCTGCTTTTGACTTTATGGCACTAGAGGGCCCTATACTGAGTCTCTGTCTCACTATCTTCAAGATGGACTACTGCACTGATGTGGTGGCTTTGAAATAAAGCCACTTAATCTGGACATCATCTTTACAGGCCTAAGAAGGCCTGTTTTCACTTTTCTTCTGAAATACAAAAATTCAGATTATATTAACAGGAGATTCTTTGGGGCAGGTAGCTTTATGCTAAAATATCATGAAATGATAAATGGAAAACAAAAATTAAGAAGAAAAAATTGAATTCCACTTAAAAGAATAGTCTTAATGTTCTTAAAGATAGTATAATATCAAAAAAGTGAAAGAGGGCTGGGCATGGTGGCACACACCTGTAATCCCAGTAACTCAGGAGACTGAAGCAGGAGGATTGCAGGTTCAAATCTAGCCTAAGCAACTTAGCAAAACCGTAAGCAATTTAGTGAGACCCTTTCTCAAAATAAAATATAAAAAGGGCTGGGGATGTGGCTCAGTGGTTAAGTGCCTCTGAGTTCAATCTCTGTATCAAAAAAAAAAAAAGAAAAAAAACGTGAAAGAGGGTGTGAGACAGCTCAGTGGTAGAGCACTTGCCTATCAAACAAGAATGTGAAAAGAAAAAGTGGAAATACACATATTTTAAATGTTAGCCATTCTGTGACTGTTACATTAAGTCATTTATGAAATAGAAATATAGGCCTAAAGGCTATTTCTAGGAATTAAGCAATGAAGAACATCAATTTTAGAATAGTTCTTTTAAATCCAAAATTAGTAACTAAGAGCTAGGCATCAAAACAATTGTATACTACGATATGCTTCTCTTTTCCTTAACTCTTCATTGGAATGACCTTTCCTTTCCAAACATGCAAACTTAAGACATATGTCGAAATTGTAAAATAGACTATAGATATAAACATGATGAAAAGCCATGGGTAAACCTTTGCTTGGCAGAAGAACAGAGTGCCTTGCCAGTGGCATCCATCATTTTTCCAGCTTGAGTAGCATCCCGTTCTGCTTGAAACTTTAAAAAGAGCCCTAGCTCATTTTCTTCCTCTGATATAACTAGGGGGAAAAATATAGTATAGTTAATTATCTCATTCCATCAATTGTTTAAAATACACACAAAAAACTAAAATTCTCACACCAATAATTCTGATATTAAGAATTACTTGGGATAGGATAGACAGCAGAATACATCAGACACTAGAATGGCAATATGTAAATCAATGGAAGTGTAACTGATGTGATACAGTAATCTGTATACGGGGTAAAATTGGGAGTTCATAACCCACTTGAATCAAACTGTGAAATATGATATATTAAGAACTATGTAATGTTTTGAACCACCAACAATAAAAAAAAAAGAAAAGGAAAAAAAAAGAATTACTTGGGGAATATAAGAATTACTTAGGAAGGAATAAGAAAAGACTTATTGTAAAAATGCAAATTCCTGGGCTTCATTTCAAGAAAGTCTGATTTTATATTTCTGGAGATACACATTTTACAAGCATTCTAGATGGTTTTGATGCAGTGAATTCATAGACCTTGCTTTGGGAAAACTGACCTTTATTGAAAAAAACAAAACAAAAAAAAAAAGGAAGAAAATTACATTTTCAAATGTGCAGAAATTTTAGACTCATTGCCTTTTACAAAGTATTTTTCCTATTTATATAGTTGTTGATTTATTAGTGATTCTCATCCTTAGTATCTCAGACCCATAAATGTCCACAGTTCTGCTGCAGAAACCCTAAAAGTTTCAGGCTAGCACCTGTCAATAATTGTTGGTTACCAGAGTAATTGTGTAGAAACTTTTGCTAATTGAATGAGTATTTTATCACTGTCAGATCTTTTTGTTTTTATTTTTTATTTGTTCTTTTTAGATATACATAACAGTAGAGTGTATTTTGACATATTATACATACGTGGAGTATAATTTCCTATTGTGGTTGTATATGATGTGGAGTTACACGGGTTGTGTATTCCCATATGAACATAGGAAAGTTATGTCCAATTCATTCTATGTCATTAGCTGTCAAATCTAATAATAAAAAAGTAGGGGGCTAGGGTACAGCTCAGTGGTGGAATGTATGCTTAGCATGCTCAAGCCCCAAAGTTCAGTGCCAAATCCACATTAAAAAAAAGAGGAGGGGGAGAAACTGAACTTGAGTTTACATGTCTTTTTAAATCTCATTTTCTAAAATTCCACTTTTATTTTATCTTACAAAAATGTCAGATTAGAAGTAAACCACAAAACAAAAAAAAGTTGTCCCTCACTATAGTTTTAGAAACAATTATATTGTATAAAGTGACACTCTAACCACAATAAGATAGATAAGTGGGAAAAGTTATAAAATGTGCAATTGAACAAAACAAAACCAAATGTCATACCTATTCTCACCTTAGTGCACTGCAGAAAAACTGAAGTTTAAAATTTTAGGTATGTTCCCATGTTCCTCTGAGCCAGCAATAGAATCAGCCCTTCTCATCTACAGATTCCCCAATCCTGCTGCTTCTCTCTGTGATATTTACAAGTGACTCTAGAACATGGTAGTGTCATGGTGGGTGACTGTACATTCTCTGGTATCCTCTTTAATAAAACCATTTATCATATTATGAACAACTCACCTGATCCAGAGTGGATTGGAACTGGGGGAGTCATGTTAATTTAATATTCTGATTAATTGAGAGATGTACATTTCCTTTGAGTCAGAAGTTTATAAATGTACCTCAGTGAAAACTACTAGAAAAAATACTCATTTTTATATGATGATTCAGAAAGATCTCTGAGAAACTAGTATACTTCATTATAAAGTATCAAGTGAATATAAGCATCACTGAGTCTTATCTTTATCAATGCAAAAAAGCAGGGAATATGGCTGAATGTGTGCTGCGAGTGTGTTGGGACCTGCCTGCAACATCTACTGAGATCCCACCCTGATATGTTCTTCCCCTAGTCAAGTGATTTCCATAAAGATTTATAACACTGGAGGTTGGGGTGTAGCTCAGCAATGGAGAACATTCTGAGCATTCATCATGAATTCCTAGAGATTCCATCCCCAGCACCAAAAAAGAGAGAGATTTATAGCACTGTACTAATTTACTGTTTGTGCCTGATGTAATTCCCATATTTGTCTGATGTTAATCCTAACAGAAGATGTATTAATACAAGAGTCTTCAAGAAAACACATATTTATATACAATTTCAAAGAGAAGTACATAATGAAATCTACATATGTGTAATCTCTTCCTTATTCTGAAATGTTCTATCAGAGTGCTAAAAGATCTAGTGATTTCAGGACAAAATTTAAGACAAACAAACTTGCCAATATTTCTTGTCATCACTTCTATCACAAGACTTCTTTGGTCCAATGACTGTAACAGCTTTTAATTGCTTGGTAAAACATACTATCCCAATAATCTGACCCCAAACTTCATTTGCTCCTTTATTCCCCTATTATTCTCAGTTAGAAACTCTTCTGTCCATGCATGCTCTTCTCATTTCTTAAGCTCATTCCCTAGATGCCAAATCTTTTCTCCATATATTCAGTTCTATAAACCCTTGAAGTTTTACCTCAATTCCCATTTATAGAGTTGCATTGCTCTATTCCAGTTATTTTTCACTTATAGGAATTCAGAGTCATGTCTTTATTTCTATACTGAACTCAATTATATACTATTTGTATCATCTCTTATTTTTTACAAAAGTTGTTTCTCCCAACTATTTCCTTGGGAAAAGCACATAGCCTTACACATAGCAGATACTCATAAAATACTTGAGTAACTATGCCTTACTGAATTTCTGTTCTTTTCTGAGTTGTTGGTGATTGAACCCAGGTCCTATGCCTGCAAGGCAAGTGTTCTACCAGTGAGTCACATCCCCAGCCCTGGATTTCTTTATTTAATGGGATGGTATGTGAGCTTTGAATATAAAGTAGTAAGATTAACTTACATAGCTTCATGAGAAATCATTCATTCACTGAGCAAATATTTATTGAATACTGAGTAGATTCTAGATATTGTTTATAGGCTTCAGGGACATAAAAATAAAATAGACAAAGTCCTGTTCTTAAGGAGAGCATATTCTAGTGGTGAGAAGAAAAACAGCAGATAAAATATAGAATGTTAAATAACAGGGAGCTATGAAGGAGAAGGGGTACTGTATTTTAGATATGGGGTTTGGGGAATTCCTCAATATAAAGATGACATTTGGTCATACCTAAGGGAAGTTACGGAGCCCACCGTGAAGACATGCCTGCTGTGAAAGAGATCAATATAAGTTCAAAAAGACAGGTTTTAGGAAATGTGATCAGAGAGGTAACCAGGATCATAGGGGTAGCCATATCCAGTAGGCCACTGTATTTAAGCAGGAAAAAAAAATCCAAGACTCAGTTCCAACCCAATGAGGTCAAGGGGAAAAAAGAATCCAGCAAAAGCAGAATGAGAAGAAAAAAACAATTAAGAGGAAAACCAGGGAAGCGTGGTGCCTAGAAGCAGATGAAGAGAGTATCAAGCAGCAGATAATAAACTGTGTTAGATGATATGATAAGCCTAGTAAGGACTGGTCATTTGGCTTACCTCTTTATAACCTTGATAAGAGAAATTTGATGGAGTGGTAGGGATGAAAACTAGAGTGGGTATAAAATTAAGCAAACAGAAAGGAATAGACTGCATACAGTTATGCCAAATTTTTCCGTATGAGGAGGACAGAAGTGGGCTAACTCTGAGAGTAAGTGGGGGTCAAGAAAGAAGCTTTTAAGTGATGGAAGCAAATCTACTTAAGACTCTTGGCAAGAAAACAATATCAGTAGGGTGAGAAGATGCACACCTGTAGTGTCAACTACTTGGAAGACTGAGGCAAAAGGATCACAAGTTCCACACCAGCCTGAGAAATTTAGAGAATGAGACCAATCTCAAAATTTAAAGAGGGCTGGGATATAGTTCAGAGGTAAGAGTACATGCCTCCGCACTGGGGTTGTGACTCAGTGGAAGAGCACTCACCCACATGGGTGAGACATTCAGTTCGATCCTCAGCACCACATAAATATAAACACATAAAATAAAGGTACTGTGTCCATCTACAACTAAACAAAATTAATTTTAAAAAGTACATGCCTAGTATGTGTGAGGCCCTAGGTTCAATACCTAGAACTTTAAAAAAGAAAAGAAAGAAAAATGAACATCACTTTTGAATCTGTGTCAAAGGATTTGATGAACTAGAGAATATGAATACTAAGGATTTTGAGAATAGGTCACTATAAATGTTTGTATTTTGCCATTAAAAACTGCTCACAGGGGCTGGGGTGGTGGCTCGGTGGTAGCATGCTTGCCTAGCATGCATGAGGCACTGGGTTTGATTTTCAGCACCACATACAAATAAATAAAATAAAGGTCCATCAAAAACTAAAAAATATTTTTAAAAAACTGCTCACAAAATAGTTCAATAAGCCACTATTTTTCCATTAAATGACTTGTTTTCAATAATACAAACTAGGGGAGTGATATTGGGCAAATTATATCATTATATTGTGTGCGTGTACAAATATGTAACAACAAATCCCACCATTATGTGCAACTATAATGCACCAACAAAGAATGTAAAAAAAATGCAAACTAATATTAATTTTCAATGGGAATTATCAGGTACCCATGATGTCATACCATTGAGTCTTAGCTGATATTTCTCAACTATCTTCAGAAGTTCAGTGCACGTCTCTTGAATGGAGTGAAAAACCTTGAAATACAAACCATAAACAGATATAATTTATAAGAACTTCAAAAGTGGAATATTATTTCTATTTTATAAATATTATGTCTATTTTCCATGGCTGTGACATATTTTAGCTTTGGTTTTACTTTTTATAAAAAAAGCACATTTGGATTTCACCCATTGGATTTAGAAAAAATGATGATAAATACATGGGCTAAATCTGTGTAATTTATCCTCCTCTCAGCTGCAGCTATCTAAACACCAAACAAGATGTATCCAATACAAATAAACTGCACCAAATACTGCCAACCACAGATGAAAAGAGTATAACCTAAGAATGTGTTAACTCCGAATTTGGCTTTTTCCTAACATTGGTATAAACAAAACAGTGCATTAAACTTACTATAAAAATAACACATGGGCTGGGGTTGTGGCTCAGTGGCAGAGTGCTTTCTTAGCATGTGTGAGGCACTAGGTTTAATTCTCAGCATCACATATAAATAAATGAATAAAATAAAGGTTCATCAACATCTAAAAAATATTTTAAAAAATAACATATTACAAGCTCAGGTGTACTGTTATGGTTAGGATAACAATAATGTACTATACATTTCAGAGAGCTATATGAAAGGATTTTGTGGGCTGGGGCTGTAGCTCAGTGGCAGAGCGCTTGCCTAGCATGTGTGAGGCACTGGGTTCGATTCTCAGCACCACATAAAAATAAACAAATAAAATAAAGGCATTCTGTCCGTCTACAACTACAAGAAAATTTTTTAAAAAAAGAAAGGATTTTGTAAGTTTTCACCATAAAGAAATGATAAATGTTTGAGAAAATAAATATGTTCATCCTGATTTAAACATTATGAGTTATATACATGTATCCAGCATTACATGGTACCCTGTTAGTATGTATAATTTTTGTTTTTATGTATCAGATAAAAATTAAATTTAAAATTTAAAATAATATTTTACAACATCAAATATAAATTGATTTTGGATTATTTTTGTTTGAAATTTTCTGTGGATATTAATTCTTTCAGGCTGGGGCTGTGGCTCAGCAGTAGAGCACTCGCCTAGCTCGTAGGAGGCCCTGGGTTCCATCCTTAGCAACACATAAAAATAAATAAAATAAAGGTATTGTGTACAACTACGACTAAAAAATAAATACTTAAAAATATATATATTATAAATTCTTTCATTACCACTGTCGCTGCTAACAAAAAGAAATAAAATATCTAGTAGACTTTTCATTTGAAAGTTAATCATGTGATGGGCTGGGGCTGTGGCTCAGTGGTAGAGTACATTTGCCTGGCTTGTGTGAGGCACTGTGTTCGACTCTCAGCACTGCATATAAATAAAAAAAGATCTATCAACAAGTAAAAAAAAAATTTTTTWAAAAGTTAATCGTGAAAATTTGAGCTGAAAATACATTATACACATGATGTAACTATTCACATATCTCTATAAATTTAGGTTTCCCAGGTAAATAAGCCAACATGGATTTCAGAGTACAATCTCCTCCTCACAAAATCTTCTTACAGTGAAGAATTTTTTGTTTATTATGATAGTTTATCCAAAAGACCTTGGCTCTGTGTTGTAATATCAAGCCCTAGTCTTTTGATTACCAAATAAGCTCCCAATATCATTAAATGGCCTGCATATCCTATCTCTGCCCCAATTTAGCCATAATTTAGATACCTGATCAAACCCAGGGAATATTAATAATAAGCATGAAAATCTTGCATGGAAAATATCATCAATTTTTCATGTAAGTTCAGATATGTGTGAATTGAATTTTGAAGCAGGTCTTGGCAATTTAAAGATGTTTTAAATGCATATGGAAAAAGATTAGAAAAGAATACCAAAAAGATAGTTCTCCTAGAATGAAGTGATTTGGGTTAGTTTTTCCCACAGAGTTCTTTAAAAGTTTTATGTACTATTGCTTTTTATTTTTACAATGAAAATATTTCTTTGTTCTTTAAAAGATAGTGTAAATGTGGAAGAAAGTTCTTGATTGAGTCCAAATATCTGTCTAATGGATAAATTTTCAATAATTATATGTCATCCACAAATTTCCTAGGAATGTAAAACAACAAAAAAATATCTACTCCTGTGGGAGTACTATGTGGAAAAAGTGACGATTTCCCTTAGTGTTAAAACATACACTACTGTATACTACAGTATAATAAAATCCCTTCATTTTTCCACATTTCTTACTGAATAGTAAGAGGAATACTTTTTAACACAAATAGTAACAGCTTGTTCATCATCTCTTTCCATATTTGTTATGGCAATTCTTTATTTATTTACAGAATTAAAATACTTAGTAGAACAAGGTCTATTTAATTATACCTATATTTTTAAGGATCCCAACATAATGGTTAGATTCATAACAACACCTGCTTGTAAATATTTTTAAGAGTTATCTTAAATTAGTATATGCACATGAAATTAGTAAATCTAAACTTACAAATCCAGAATTATTTGTTAATTTACTTGAGGCTCTTTTATAGCTTAATTATTTAAAAGTATAAAATATTCACAGGTTTAAAGTTGGTTTAGTGCAATTATTCCTTTTATTTTAAATGAAAAACTAAGCTAAAAAAACTATTATGAACTACTTCAATAACTTTATTTCTTAATAGAAAAACTCTTTATCTTAATTCACTATTTGATTTTAATTAATTTATTTCAGTGAGGTATAGACTTCACATCAAAGTACTACAAAATATTACTATAGTATATAAAATATGTTATATATTATATATACATAATTACCAGTTGGGAATTTAATTCATTAATATTTGGCTTAAAAACTATAATATGGGTTTCAGAGAAATTACCTAATTCATGATTTTTTAAAATATTTTATTTTTTAGTTGTAGTTGGACACATTACCTTTATTTAATTTATTTATACGTGATGCTGTGGATCGAACCCAGGGCCTTGCATGTGCTAGGTGAATGCTCTACCACTGAGTCACAACCCCAGCCCCACCTAATTCATGATTTATCTAATTTATCTGTTCTACAAAAATTCTTCAATTGTGAAGATTGTGACCTCTTATTCAGAAGCTCTGATTGACAGTTGACTACAAATAAATGCTCTATGACAAAATTTGCCTTTATCCTCTTACGCTCTTTGGTATAAAAGTTTGTCACAGACCTCTTTCTAGTCCCAAAAAATAACCAGTTAAATTTACCTCAAGTTTAGCATCCAGTTCAGCATCAGATGCCACCACATGCTCATCTTCCTTTTTTCCTGTTGCTTTAATGAAGACCTGTTTGGTTTTCCAGTATTTTTTTTGCATTCTGCTGACTACCGACTGGGTATCTTCTGATCTGGGTTGTCCAAAAGAATCCATGGAGTAACTAAAATAAATAGACTAAAATTAGTGGGTTTTTAAAAAATATTTTTATAGTGGATGGACACAACACCTTTTTATTATGTTTATGTAGTGCTAAGAATCTAACTCAGTACCTCACACATGCTGGGTGAGCGCTCTACCAACTGAGCTATAACCTCATTCCAAATTTTGTTTGTTTGTTTGGTACTGGGGATTGAATTTAGAGGCACTTAACCACTGAGCCATATCCCCAGACCTTTTTATTTTTTATTTAGAGACAAGCTCTTGCTAAGCTGCTCAAACTTGATCCTCCTGCCTCAGCCTCCTGAGCCGCTCAGATTACAGGCATACACCACTGCATCCAACAAAACCAAATTTTTTTTAAAAAACTTCTCAATAAACTATTTAGTCAATTTAATCTAATTGACAAACTGAAAAAGATTATTAAATAGAATATAATGCTCACAAATATGGTAATTACTTTCTTTGTATGGTTTCATTTGGTTATAATTACAGCTTGAAAAAAGAACAGGCAAAAAGATTAGTGACACATTAATTTTGGTTGGGAAACAACTTATAAGGGATAAAACTTATGATTTTATAATAATTCTAGAAATAATTATATTCATTTCACTAATCTTTATTAGTAGAAACTTATTAGCATCTAAATTTTGCTTTTCTAATAATACTGCAAAATGAAGAAACTTGTGCACATGCATTTATTTATTACTATTATTTCCTCAGTGAAACTTTCTGTAGTTTTAACTACTGTTATAACTACAGTTTAATACATATTCTCAGATATACCCTGCCTAAAAGATCACTCCAAGAAATACTCTAATGTCCTGTAAGCCAACAAAAATAAAAGCCTTAGATATAGAGAGGTGGTATGTTATAAAAGAAACAGAAATGGATATCACAAACCATCAACATAAAAATCAGATGCCTAAGTAGTTATTCTTAACATAGCATGATTATACATATAAGGAAATGCAATTGTGAAAAATTTTCTTAAGAAAATGTAAAAAAGGACTAATAACAGTTTGACTCTAAAGCCTATTTATTCCAATAAACTGTGGGAATAGAAACAAAAGGGAGATTTGTGACTCATTCATCACTTCCAGGAGTATCAACAGATCTATTGTATTCCGTGTGTGGGTAAAGAAGTAGCGTTTAATTTTCTTTTTCATTTTGAAATACTTAATACTTAAATAAAAATAGGATGTCTAATTTTTAAATTACTAGGGGGCAAAACAAAAGAGCAAGAAAAACTTCAGCAAAAAGCAAAAGCCAAAGTAGAAAAAACAGGAGTAAGGAAACATAATAAACAGTATAAATCAGGGGGCTGGAAATACAAATAATATTATTTAAAATGATGACTGCAAATTTCCCTTTAAATACATAGTCTAAAATTTAAAAAAATCCTATCATATGCTATTTGAGATCCACCTAAAATTAAATGATAGAGAAGGAATAAAAATAGATGTAGATTAAGATATACCAAATAAATACAAAGAAAATTAAACTAACCATATTAATATCAGACAAACTAGATTTAAGTTAAACGCATAAAACAGCACAAAAATGATCTGTAAGTCCACAGGTGGCAGCTTTTCCACACACCTCCAGGTATTCTCCTTTGGCTGTCCTGCTAGGTTCCTGGGCAATATAGATTGGTAACCATTTAATTGCTGATCCTTATATGTTATTCTAGATAACTTGGCTGGACATAATCTGAGAAAAGAGAAAGAATTCAATCTTGGGTACATAGGAGGCTTGGGGTTGATATAAGTATTATACTGTTCTGATATAGCGTCTTAAGGGAAACTTGCATTTTTTCGTCTCTCATCCAGTTTCTTTCTGCTTTCAGTTTCCTCTCCAGATTTTATAAACTATTGGCATGAGGATCAGCCCAATTGTATGACAAACTGCTGATCTCTTCTACTAAGCTGACTGTAGGCTTAAGTCCAATCAGTTAGGAAGACAAAATGCTAGGGAGTGGGCTGGAGTTGTGGCTCAGTGGTGGAGTGCTTGCCTAGCATGCGTGAGGCACTGATTTCGATTCTTAGTACCACATATAAATAAACAAAGGTTCATCAACAACTAAAAAAAAAWTTTTTTTAAATCCATGTTGATGTAGTTTAAACAATATATTCCTGTCCTCTCCATTCTCTCATCTCCTTTTTGAGTGAGAACAAGTAAGTACTTTGTCTGATTGGAAGTTTGAGAATAATAAACTTGACTCCTCCTTTTTTATCTGAAAGCTATGGTGCTTCCTAAGAGTACGAAATTCCTGGCAAGGACAGGAGAGTGGCTGGGAGAGTAAATCTGCAGAAGCTGATAATTGTATATTTGTGGGTTTTTAACTAAGACCACTGTTAAATCTGCTTGCCACTAGGGGTGGGTTAGGCAGAAATCAAAGTCCTACTGAGTTAAGATATCAGATAATAGAATTTAAGGCTGGCAGAACTACCTAAGTTTAAGAGTTTTATCCTGGAGAAGAGAATGAAGACAATGAGGAAGTGATCCCCAAAAATCTGTATACAAAGTCTTCCTAGATTTTTGCCGATCACTAAATCAGTAAGTGGTGGGAGAGATACCAGGAGTCCTGACAAAAAGCCAGCAGCTGAAAGATGAAATAGTTAAGTGGTAATTTTAGCTGCTCTAACTGCAGAGGAGACAGAGTTTGAGAGCTTGAGTTCAGCTAATTTAACTTCCTTCTAAAAAAGCCTTTTTTTCAGAGAAACAAAATCTCTGCCAAACACATCATTCAAAATGCTAAGAAGCCAATAAAAAACCACTGGACACACTAGTATGAAAAATGTGATCTGGGTATGGTACGCCTGTAATCCCAGCAATTTGGGAAGCTGAGGCAGGAGGATCAAAAGTTCAAAGCCAGTCTGAGCAGATTAGTGAGGAATTTAGCAACTCAGTCAGACCCTGTATCTAAATAAATATTAAAAATGGCTGGCGATGTGCTCAGTGGTTAAGCACCCTGGGTTCAATCCCTAGTGCCCTGCCTCCCCCTCAAAAAATGTGATCCCATGGCCAGGGGAAAAACAGAAGTCAATAAAAACAGACGGCAGGGCTAGAGCTGTTGCTTAGTGGTACAGTGCTTACATTTGTGAGGCACTGGGTTCGATCCTCAGCACCACATAAAATAAATAAATAAATATGTTGTGTCCACCTACAACTGAAAAAAAAAAAAAGGAAAAAAACCAGACCCCCAAAGCCCTAAAGACTTCCCAGATATTGCAATTACCAAACATTTAAAAGCAGATATTATAATGTATGCAAAAACTTAAGATAGGATGTGTACACAAAAAAACAGAAAATATTAAAAGTAAGTGATGGTCTCCAGTTAAAACTTTAATAACTATAATTAATAATTGAATGGATAGGCTTAGGAACAACTGGAAGATAGCAGAAGGAGTGAAGTTGAAGAAGAGAGAGATGGTGAGGCAGAAGGAGAAAGATAGAATAGGGCAGGAAAACATTCAAGGAAATAAAACATCCCAAAATATATGAATGACTTTAACTTAGAGATGCAATGAGCTATGCAAACCCCATGCAAGGTAATACAAGAAAATTACAAATAGGTCCCTCATATACAAAATGTTTAAATCCAAAGATTAAAAAAAAAAAACAAAGACAGCAAAGGAAGTCAGTCTTGAAAACAGAAAAAATTGGCATATTACACTCAGGGAAAGAAAATTACAAACGAAACATGAGTTCTTGACAAAAACAACAAAGTTAAACTAAATAGGACATATTTAAGGTATTAGAAACAAGAAACATCTGCTAACTCATAATTCTACATCTGTTGAAACAGCCTTTAAAAATAAAAGCAAGGGGTCTGGGTTGTGGCTCAGTGGTAGAGCACTTGCCTTACACGTGCGAGACCCTAGGATTCATCCTCAGCACCATATAAAAATAAATAAGTGAAATAAAAGTATTGTGTCCAACTACAACTAAAAAATAAATATTAAAAAAATACATAAAATCAAGGTACCCTTTTCTTGGGACACCTCCCTCTTCGGAAGCTCTGCTTTCTATTCCTCTAATAAGTCCTATTACCTTGCTCTTAAAGTAAATAAATAAAAATTTAAAAATAAATGCAAAGTAAAAACATTTTCAGATACCAAACAATTCCAAACAATTTCTTGTTTCTAATACCTTAAATATGTCCTATTTAGTCTAAATTTGTTATTTTGTCTTTTAATAAAGAGATAAAGACCTAAGAGAATTCATGGTCAAAGAACTTTCAGAAATGCTAATAGTCGGGCTAGTTGTGATTTAGCTCAGAGATAGAGCATTTGCCCAGCGTGCATGAGGTCCTGGGTATGATTCCCTACACTGCAAAGAAAAGAAATGCTAACAATCTATCATGAGTGCATAAATAAGGAAAATGTAGTATATGGAATACTGCTCATCCATAAAAAAGAAATTGTCTTTTGTGACAACATGAACAAACCTGGAGGACATTATGGTAAGTGAAATAAGGCAGGCACAGGACGACAAAATAGCACTGTAGCATCTTCCAAGCTTTCCGATTCTGTCATCATGCTGGACTTTTGCTCTGACCTTTATGCCTCCCCTTTATTAAGACCTTTGTAACGATCCCCAGAAGAATGTCCCCATCTCAAGATCCTTAATCATACAGGCAAAGTCTCTCTTTCACAGAAGGTGACAGTTTCACAGATTTCAGAAACTAGGACAGGAACATCTTTGGAGGACCATTATTCTGGCTACTACTCTCTCTTAATTTTCACCCTTATTTAGCAAAAGGACAGACTCAAGTAAATTCCTCAGGAAAGGTAGCTGGAAGAAAAAATGCATAAGTCCTTGTATGCCTGAAAATGGCTTTATTCTTCTCTTCTATTTTAGAACTGGAGGAAGGTCTTTTTCCTTTGTGTTTCTAACATTGGTTTCATGATGGAAATTTTCATGCTAGTCTGATTATTGTTTCTTTGATAGTGATCTGTATTATTTCTCTAGAATTTTTTCAGTATCTACTTTTTATCC